TTCAACCATTAGGTTCAGTGATGCGTAGGGTTCAGGATTCGTTTAGGGTCAGGTTTTAGCAAATCTTAATTGATTTCTTTCTTGAACACAAATCTTGTGTAGTCGTTATTCGTACTCGTAGCCAAGTATATAAAGCTCTCTAATGTTGTATCTGTGACAGTATTGTTATCCCAGATTTCTAGCTAGTAGAAACCTTCGTCGTTCTACGGTTTATGGCCAAGATTGTAGCTTGGTCTTGTATCTGACCACAGCCGTTTTGGTTAACACATTTTAGTATTTTTGCACATATAACAAATCCTACAAGTTGATTGGTCAAATTTGACGTATTAAGCTGTTATATATTCACCTACAGGTGAATATAACAAAGCCGAAATTTACATATTTTGATAAAGAAATAAGCGAAATTAAAATAAATTCAGTCCCAAAAAACACAAAAGACTTGTGTAAAAATACTAAAACAATTATTCGCCTCAGGCTCGGTGATTGTCGGGGAATGTTCATCTCGACTTCGTCTCGGTGAGTATTCCCCGATGATCACCTCGCCTTCGGCGAGTAATTGTTGAATGTTCTCATCTGGAAACGTTATACACTGGAAATGGATTTTAGTTGAGAATGGTATGGAAATCTGATTTTTATACTAATTGCAATTTCCGTACTATGGATATTAGTATGGCAATAATATGAATAAGAATTTGCATGCAATCGCAAATTTCATGGTATGAATTTCAAAATTTTTTGCCAGTGATAAGTTATGTTTTACCTCTCTATTATATGTAAATGCAGTTAAATGCAATTTAACTAAGTTAACAACAAAGAGCGCAGTTAGTGTGTTAGTTCGTATGGTCAGTGATTTCTGGCATACCAGCATGCGCATGGCGATAGTAGGTCAGCGGCTGTTAGTGTTTGAGCATGCGCAAACAACAGGCACGCATTGTTCGGAAATCCTTCTAGGCTTGGGTGCTTATTATCGGAAAGTTCGTATTTTTTTTATTTGTTATTATTTTTTTTATTATTATTTTTATTTATTTATTTTTTTCCCACTGACCCAGTCAGTGTGACAGGTGCTTGGGCCTGGTGTGGGGGCTCATGGCTGGGTTGCAGGGAACGGCAAGCCATGAGAGTGGTATGTTTGTCTGGGGGCTGGCTTTGGAAGCGAAAGCCCCTGGATGACCCAGGCACCCATTATCCACAAGCGATACAGTTGTTAATATTTATTGATGAAAATAGTGGTTTTAAATAAATTGTTTTCTCTCATTTGATATTCGTCAACTTGTTGTTCTTTTTAGCTCCTCGAGTTGATGAAATTGTCGTAGAACAGCTGGCTGCAATGGGCTTTCCAGTAAACGGCTGCAGACGAGCCGTGTACAGTACTGGAAATACGGGTTAGAAAATCACAAGAAATTGATCTTACTGTATCAAAAACTAGCTAGATTTAATTTGTGAACGATGGTATTTTTCCCTAGGCATCGAAGCTGCCATGAACTGGATTTTTGACCATCAGACTGATCCAGGCAAGTGTATGCGAGGTTCATTGACTCAAGGACCGATTGTATTTTATCGTTTTAGTTGATGCGCCGTTGCTTGGATTTTCAATATCATCAAGGTAATTTTTTAATCTTTTTAGATTTTAATGAGCCTCTACCAAATCCATCCGCTGGAAAAAAGACTCCACAAATAGCTGTGAGTGAAGAGTCCCTTGCAATGTTGATGTCCATGGGTTTCACCAAAGATCAAGCAACCAAAGCCTTGAGAATGACGGTAAGAAATCACACACAACACAACACAGCACAGCATGGCACAGCATAACACAACACAACACAACACAACACAACACAACACAACATAACAACAATTTATTGTACCCCAAAGAAAAGACTAAAGCAATTTACTTAGTATAGTATATCAAATATAGGTACTGGCTACCTGTAATGATCGTAAAGGGCTAGATATCAGAAATCACATATTCCTGCATTTTTCCTCATTTTGATATTTTTTGGGCAATCTTTTCCATGTCCTCCATATTTAGGAAAACAATTTAGAACGTGCCGCTGACTGGATATTTTCTCACGCCGCGGAACTGGACGCGATGGAAACAGACGAAACACAAGACACTGGCCCACAATGTCCTGATGGAGATGGAAGTAAGTGACGGGGGGGAGGGGGGAGGCGTGGCACACCTGTGGGTGCGGTGGCTGTTTGCATATGGACCGAATTATCAAATTGAATGATCTGAATTAAAAAAAAATGAATTTAAATATAAAACTTAGTACTTCAAAAATCCCGGTGATGTCTTGAAAATGTGCGCTATCGAGTTGTAGCGGGTACTTTAAAAATTTAAAACAGCCCAGCAGCCTATATAAATGCAGACGATATTTAAATTAAATTCCATTTATTTCATTTGCAGAATATAAATTAATCGCTCTGATAAGTCACATGGGGACTTCGACATCGTGTGGGCATTATGTATGCCATATATTAAAGGAGGGAAGGTGAGAAAAAAATATAGCTATGTGCGATTGTTGGTTGACCTATGTGGTTATTCTTTTTGCAAGACTAATTGCCTCAGTTTTAACCTGTCTTCCTAGAGGTCCAGTGAGGGTACTACTTCACGGAAGCTTAATTTATAGCCTACCAATGCTTTACGGAAATTTCCTTTATGGAAATTCACCGATATTCCGATAACCGATATTAATTGAAGGACCGATATTTTGCCGATACCGATATTCTATGTCATTTCACAAAATTGAAAGATGACATCATGACTGTTCTACTTTAATACTTTTGAATTTAATTCAATTCATTTGTTTCTAAAAACTGAAAATATCAAATGAAATGCTGCAAATACATGCAACACACTACAGTAGTATATTACTACCCCAGTGACTGTTTATTTGTAATAAAAATAACTATTGAACTGCAACTGTAACCATCCAATAATGTTTAATAACAGTTTGTAATATCGGTAATATGAACAACAAAATTACCGATATTTCTATTTTAGGGAAGCCTCACATATCGATTTTTTCCACGAGAAACGTCATATGTTCGTTTGGGGGTGGGGGGGTTGGCAGCTGTGACGTTTCTCTGTAAACATCATGGAAAAATTCGATAGTTTTTATCTTTGCAGAATATAAAAAAGAAAACAATTTGATACAAACAGCAGTCTATATATTCGTAATACCATACCTGTTCTATACCTATACATTTATATTATTACGCCTTCCTTGCATTGAAAACACTCAAATTTCAAGAAAAACGCGCTAAAATTATCAATATTTCATGCAAAAAAAGTTGTTTTGAGAAACGTTGGAAATTTTGAAGTTCATATATATATTAATAAAAAAGAGTATGTCAGCAGAAGATGACATATTCCTCGCGGAAGCATCGCCAATAGCCGACCGAAAAAAATAGTAGAAAATTACCTTATGTGTACTATATAAGAACAAAATATCGATAACTATGTGTGACGTTTCTAAGGGGGGGTGGGGGTCTCCAGAGAAACGAACATATGACGTTTCTCATGGACAAAATCGATATGTGCAGTGGCGGAAATTCACTTTTTCCGGTGGGGGGGGCGAAGCCTTCTAAATTTCCGACCAAACGTTCAAATTTCCGACAACCCCCCCCCCCCCATTTGCACTCGAAAAGGCTGTTTTTAGCCCTCTTAAAGGCCGGTTTTCCACTTGCGAATTTTTTCGCGCGAAGCGAATTTTTCTTTTGTCTTTATCCAATCAGTTCCAAATGGTTCCAGACCAAAGACAAATGAAAAATTCGCTTCGCGCAAAAAAATTCGCAAGTGGAAAACCGGCTTTAGAGGTCAAAATTTCCGAATATTTGTCATTTTCCACGAAGGTGGGCGGGGGGGGGGGCGGCCGCCCCACCGAGATTTCCGCCACTGGATATGTGAGGCTTCCCTAATAGTACCGATAAGCCGATACACCGATATGGTTATCCTGCATCACTATTATAGTCCATACACTACATCGTGTAAAAGATTTTGGTTATTGTATATATTGTTACAGTGTGTATTATGTAAACTTGGCATCATGTAAATTCAAATTGATATCATTCTCGGACGTTGGATGACGTCATCATATGTCATCAAAGTTTAGTTCAATTTTTGAAATGCACATGCAAATCAAAAGTAATGATCTATACTTACAGCTAAAAAATCTTTACCTGTAATGTTGATAGTCTTTGTTTTTGCGTTTCAGATGGGTGATATATAACGATCGGAAAGTGGCCGTATCAGAAAACCCGCCGAAAAGTCTAGCTTACTTATACCTTTATAAACGACTCTAATATTTATACTTAACAACATAATATAATATTTGTAGTGTCACGTTCTGCTTTTTAATGAAATTTTCTTTACCCTTGCGTTATTCAGATTGAAATCTTTGACTAAACTGTTGAGACCATCATAGGGAAATATTGAAAAGTTAATATGTACGTTTAAATGCAGTATATATATATATATATATATATATATATATATATATATATATATATATATATATATATATATATATATATATATATATATATATATATATATATATATATATATATATATATACGACAATGACCAAAACTTGCCTTAGCCAAAAGCACATAATATTACGACAAAGAGATGTCAAGTGGCCGAAAATTTATTATTTGTATACTTTACTTTAGTCATCTTTAATAAATTCTTCGATACGTCGAGGAAGGCCGTGTCAAGTGGCCGAAAATTTATTATTTGTATACTTTACTTTAGTCATCTTTAATAAATTCTTCGATACGTAGCCATCTCTTTGTCGTAATATATATATATATATATATATATATATATATATATATATATATATATATATATATATATATATATATATATATATATATATATATATATATATATATATATATATATATATATAGTATATATATATATATATATATATATATATATATATATATATATATATATATATATATATATATATATATCGCAGATTTCGCATTAATAATACCTTTTGAATATTTGGTAAACGTCATCTAAATTCATCATTAACATTCAGCAAATTGATCAGAAATTAGTCCGACAAATTGCAGCGTGCGAACAGTCTCTCTCGCATTTGTTATCTTTAATCCCCCGGCATAAAACTTTACCATTGGCCAGGGCCGTAGCGAAGAAGCAGGTTGGGGGGGGGGGGTAGTATCCCATTTGCCGACATTCGCTATGTCTATGATAATGCATTCAAAAAGCATTCAACCGTATTAGAAAAAATATTTCACTGTTCAAAGCAGCGATATCTAGCTGATGTCACGATGCATGTATAATAATATAGCTGGAACTGCAAATCTGACATTCAGCTGGTTTTGAGGTTGAACGGTACTTTTGCACGCTGCGATTTGTCGTCTACGAAGATTCTTAAAGCAAAAACATTGTGAACTACGGTCTACGGCTACCAGCGACAGGTAATTTAACTGAATAAGATCTATAACAGGTAATTTAACTAAATAGTAAATAGATCTTTCACTGTAAGCGTACAAATATCTTCTTAAATCATGATTATCATGCTTCACTATACATAACTCGGCAATAACAGCGCAAAAAAGATGCATGGATAAATTGTATAGTCGAACGTGGGCAGCCATGTTGTATTGATGACATGTCTGAAAATTTCACCGGTTTATCAAAAGGTCGTTGCCAGATTTCATGTTTGCGGGCTTCTTTGTATCATGCAACCATACCTGAAAAATAGAACCACGCTTTGATGTTTTGAGCGAAGGCCCTTCGTCTGAGAGTTATATATTAATAGAAACTTCCAGACGAAGCCGCTGGCTGAACGTTCCATCACACGTCATCACTATATGCATGACTTCTTATTCACTTAGCGATGTCAATGGCACGCTCAGTGTAAAAATAGAAATATAACCAATTCTACCTAATTTAGGCCATATAAAATAAATTTCTTGATTCTCATCACCGCCCGACGATATTTTGGTTTCCGCGTTGATATATTTTTGTATTGTTATAAAATATAAATTTACCGCCCGACCGAGCATCTTCAGAGATTTAGTTATTTTTATATTTTATATTGGAATTTTTGCGATATAAAATTGTTTTATCGTTAATATTGCAACATGTTAAGGGATGCTTGGAATACTGAAGGAAAAAATGGACTTATAGCCTTATTACAACGATTTGTGTGGACCCTTATGCATGTTCATTTAAGCGCATGTGCAATTATCCACTTATATAGCGTTCTTCTATAATATATTTAAGGGCAAATATAAAAAGACCTCCCTCTCCAATTTTTTAAATTTTAAACTTTTTTTTTATATTTTGACATAAAATATAAAATATAAACCTCCCGCCTCCTGGGAGTTTTTAAAATTTAGCGATGAGAATCAAGGAATTTATTTTATATGGCCTTATTTATTTACTTTATATTTACTTATTTGTATAGGCTATCATGCGATGGCGAGTACAGTTAGGGATTAATAGTACGAGTGATGTTTGGAAATTTTGCCAAAATTGGACGAGCCGCCGGGGTGAGTCCAATTTGGCAAATTTCCAAACATCACGAGTACTATTAATCCCTAATTGTACGAGCAACATCGCATGATTACTTGTTTATTATTAGCATGACAATATTGGATACGTACTTCTCAATGTCAGCATCATATTCTCTCTCTCCAAAGCCCAGTCCTGCCAGACTTTCAACCAAAATTTGGTGCTTTTGTTTGTATTTTCATTTAGTTCTTTTGTTAAAGCAAAATTTGGTGCTTGTGTTCGTATTTTCATCTAGTTCCTCCCAGGGCCGCCGAGAGGTTGGCGGGGGCCCGGGGCAAATTGTTTTTGGGGGCCCCCTATCTAAAATTTTTTTTCCGGAAAAAATTTTTTTTAGGATGACAACCACTTCCTCGGTCAGTGTACCAATTTAAGGGGTAAAAATTTTTCCGGACGAATACGTTACAATTGCTTGCCAGGGACTTTATCTCATTTTTCATGCCAAATTTTGGTACTTAAACGAAGAAAACAGATATCTTGTCCTTCGCGCAGAAATATTTAACACACTCAGGGACCGCGGAGACGGGGGGGCTGGGGGGGCTTTAGCCCCCCCCCACTTTTTTTGACAGCCAAAATTATTAAAATAGAAATCTAAATGAAACTTTCTAAATTAATTAAACCTCACCCTTTAGCCCCC